ATTATATATTCAAGTTTAAAAGAGGAAACATATCAAATAAACTGAAAACTGCTTGAAATAAAATATTTTCAAAAGAATCACTGAGAGACTGGTTTTAAATAAAAATCTGAATTATTGTTGCTATTGTTTGGTGCTGTCAAGACTATGACTCATAATGACCCAATGAACAAGAGATCTGAACCCGTACCTATCCTCTGTCATCCTCATGATTTGTTCTGCTCCAGGCTATGTCAGTAGTCACTTCATCCCATTGAGAGTCTTCCTCTCTTTCACTGACCCTCTACTTTTCCCAGAATGCTGTCTCTCTCCAAATTTGGTTCCTCCCGAAAATATGCCCCAAATAAGTGATTCGTTTGATCTTTTGGCAGTTAGTTCATCACCCTTATTATCCAACTTTCAAATGCAGATGAAAGATCATAGCCTGGATCAGGCACACCTTAAATTGATATCCTTCCTCTTTAGGAGAGAGGTCTCTGACAGCTGATTTCGCCAATGCACACATCTTTTCTGGACTGCTGCTAACATGAGTATGATTCATATAAAACGAAATCGTTGACAACTTCAATTATTTCTCAGTCTATCCTATTGCCTACTTAGCTACTAGTCCAGCTATGAGGACCAATAGTTATTTCAAAAACTCACTCTCGGGGAGCTCCTGTGGCCTAGTGGCAAGAAGCTGCACTGCAATCCCAGATGTGCGTGGTTCGAATCCACCAGATGCTTTGCAGGAGAAGGAGGGACAATCTCCTCCTGTACTAGTCAGATCTGATTTGATGGTACAACGCACAAAAAATAATAAAATAAAAATGTAAAAAAAACCCTCACTCTCATAAGAGTTCAACTTGAAGCACCCTACAGGACAGAGCAGCATTGCCCCACCGGGTTTCCAGGGCCAGAAGTCTTTATAGGAGTAAACTGTCGGCATCTTTCTGGCAAAGTTCAGCTGGTAGGTTAACGGGCACCACCAACAAGCTGCTCCATGGGAGAAAGTGGGCAATCTCCTCTCCTGCGATTAGCCGCCTCTGAAAACCTGCTGAAGGCTGAGCTCTGGGTCAGTTCCGACTAGATGGCACACAACAGCAACCTTTCCAGTAGCAGCGAAATTAACGACTATGCCACCAAGTTTCCTAAAAGTTGTTTAAACTCAAACTAATAAGATGCTCCTTAAGGTTTCCAAGGCACTAATTATTACCAGAAGGAGAATGTCTTTCTTGAAAAAAACAACAACAAAAAAAAACCAAAACCAAAACCTGACACATAAGTGGTCTGGTGGAACTGAAAGAATTATAAATTTAACTGGTTTTCATTTTCAACAAGTTAGAGAGCTTTTCTTTTAAAAGTATTTTTTACTAACTAGCTCTAAATTATAATACACCTTAAGCACTTAAAAATTAAAGGAATACTGCAATCAAATTAAGCTTGACACTAGCACGAACTACCCTAGATAAGGCCTCACCATGCACAAAGCAGGCACAAGCAACATGGCACGCAGCATGCTTCATTGCCGCACGGCGGGCCTGGGAGAGCTGTCAGAAGATAAGGATGTGGAGACCCTCCGCGAAGCAGGCTAGGCCCAAGTCCTCTGGGTGCCCAGGTACCGCCACACGGTGCGCCCGCTTCGGCTCGGCTCTGTCCTGCAGGACGCTGACCTCTCCGCTCCGTTCCGTTCTGCTGGACTCCAGCAGCCCCAGCCCGTCCTCCAGCGCCCCCAGCCCCCGGCTTACCCGCATCAGGGAGCGTGTCCCCAGGGGGAGCCAGGGTGACATCGCCGTCCCTCCAGACATGGACGTGAGCCGCAGACAGAACGCGTGGGTTGGGGGCGCGGCCTCGGGCGCCCCCGGCGCGGAGGGAGCCACAGCACTGGTAGCACACGGCCCACGCCTGCTCTTCGTTGATGGGCTGATTGTAGAGTCTCAGGATCTCCTCCAGGCTCAACGCGTCCCGTAGGCCTTCGGCAGCCACGGGCGCCCCGCTGCCGCGGCTACTCTGGCCCACCTGGTCCTCCTCCGCCGCGGTCGCCCCGTGCTGCGACATCCCGTGGGCCGCCTCAGCAATAGGGCATCACGGCCGCAAGACGCCACATCTCACAACCACCAAGCCCCAACACCAGCCGCACACCGCCCGCAGACAAGGCGAGCAAAGGGCACCCAGGACAGCTACTGACAAGTGACCGCCGCCCTCCGTAAACTCACAGGAACGCGATGGCGTCTGCTGCCGGCCCCGCCCCGAGCTCCGCCCTATATCTGACCCCGCCCCCGCGAGCTCCGAGCTCCCCCGAAGGTCTGACCCATCCCTGCCCCCACCATCTAGCCCCGCCCCATCCTGATCCCACCGCCCTGACCACAAAGCCACGCCCGAGCTCAACCCCATCGCCTGATCACGCCCCACCGTGCGCTACTCCCCGCCCTAACTCCGCCCGTGACCCCGCCCCCGCAAGCTCCGAGCCCCGCCCCATCCCTGACCCCCTTCCAACACTGGTAACCCCACACCCCTACCCTTCACGAACGTCAAGCACCACCCTTCCCTGCTCTCCCTGTGACTATCAAGCACCCCCGACAACGACCCTGCAAACACTGAACTCCGCCCCATTTCTTGACCCCGCCCCACGAGTTTCGGAGCCAGCCCATCCTTAACCCAACCGGAACTCCGAGACCCGCCCCATCCCTGACCCCGCCGCCGCAAACACTGAAGTCGGACCTGACTCTGACCCCGCCCCCTCGAGTACCAAACAATCTCCAGACCAACCCTGCGAGTTGGGGGCATCTCGTCCCTGATCCCGCTCCAACCCTGAACCCGCCCCTCTCTCACTGGTGGCTAGCATTCCAAAGGCGGGAATGCTATACTTTCACTTTATACTTGTCCTCTTTTTAAAAAAAAAAAAAAATACTGATTTACTTGCAAAGTTCTTATACATTGTTTTTCACTCCACTTGTCTTGAGGACCAGATCCCTGCTCCTTCAGCTGCATCTGGCACCTGGCGAATACGACACGGTAACTTTGACCCAGATAGCGTATTTGCCTCCTTCAAGCTTTGAATCAATTTCCCCACCACTCTATGTGTGCTGCCACTGGGTTCACCCCTTTCACATTCCCTGAACCCTACTCTCCTCCTTTAGATCATTCTCATTACCGTCAGAGAGCTCGGGGGCATAGTCCCTGCAGAGCTGTGGTGCTTTCTCGAACGTGGAGCCTCTCTGGAGGTTCAAATCCACCTGTGGCTACAAAGGATGTCCATTTACTTTCTCCACTGCCAACGTCAATGCAAGCCTCAGGAAAAAAAAATATTTTTTTAGATTTTGCTTACTGTTTTTTCTCAGCCCTGTTCTGGATTCATTTGTAGCATCCGTATAACTTAATGAATATCTCAAATAACCGCACACACCATATAATCCAATTAATTGAGTTTGCTAAAATGATGTAGAATAAATGTCAAGAGTGGCAAAATTAAATGAAGGCACAGAAAGAAAGAACAAATACTTCCGGGTGTCCCTGAATCTATTAGGTATGTATTAGCAAGAAAAAGAAAAATTGAACATAGTTCTTAAATAAAATTTAAAATTACCCATTAATACTGAGTTTAATCAGCAATATTGGAAGAGAGTCTCTTATTTTTCCTCTTCTGGAGCTAGATGAAGGAAATCCTTGGTGAAAAGCACGTTGGCCCCTAGAAAAAAAGAATTTGCTATTTTTTTATTTTATTAATTTTAATGAACATTTACAGATATTTTCTATTTCCATTCATTGTTGCACTTTTCTCCCTGCCCACCCCTCCCTCCCAGTTCGCTCCTCTCTTTGAAAAGTACAAGAAAAATTCCTTCACTGGTATACAATACCCCGGCCCCCCCCTTTCCCTCTCCCCCTACAGTGCACTCCACTATTCAACCTTAATTTTAGACTTCTGTGATAACCATAATACCCTACCGTATATTGCTTTCAAACTGTTCTCTCCCTCATCTGTTTCAATGCACTATGCATAATTTATCCAGTTTTTCTCAGTCTTACACCAACCATGATGTCAGTCTCATTCTACAACAGTGGTACAATGCAGTATTTGTCTTTTTGTGACTGAGACATTTTAGTCAGCATAATGTTCTCCAGGGTCACCCATTTTGAATAATATTTCATGAGTTCCTTGTTTTTCAATGCAGCATAGTATTCCATTGTGTGAATATACCACAGCTTCTCTATCCATTAGTTTGTTGAACTGCAAATATCAAATGCTGGCAAGGTTGTGGAGAAACTGGAGCCCTTATCCACTGTTGGTGGGAGTGTAAAATGGTATAACCACTATGGAAGGCTGTATGGCACTTTCTCAAAAAGTTGCAAATAGAAATACCATTTGACCCAGCAATTCCACTACTGGGAATTCACCCTAAAGAAACCATAACTGCCACCCAAGCAGATATATGCACACCCATGTTTATAGCGGCTTTGTTCACAATAGCAAAGAGCTGGAAACACCACAAGTGCCCATCAGCAAATGAATGGATAGAGAAGCTCTGGTATATCACACAATAGAATACTATGCAGCATTGAAAAACAAGGAACTCATGAAATATTATGCAAAATGGATGACCCTGGAGAACATTATGCTGAGTGGAATATCTCAGTCACTAAAGGACAAATATTGCACAGGGCCACTGTTGTAAAATGGGACTGACATCAGGGTTGAGGGAAGACTGAGAAAGAGGGGATAAATAATGTATACTGCATTGAAACAGATGAAGGAGGGAACTGTTTAAAAGGGATATATGATTATTATTGTCATGACAGGAGTCCAGAAGGAAGGCTTCACAGTGGAGTGGACTTGGGGGGAGGGATTGCATAACAATAAAAGAGGGGTTTTTTACTTTTCAAGGAGAAAAGTGAATTGGGGGGTGCAGCGGGGCAGGGAGAAAAGTGTAACAATCAATGACTGGAAACCCTAAATCTCTATAAACTTTCATTAAAATTAATTTTTTAAAAAAGGAAAAAAATTCCAGTGGGATATATTCAAAGTCAAATTTTTATTCCTCTGGATTTGCCTTAACTTTGTTTAGCTTTAGTTTGAATTTGCGTACGAGTATTTGATAGTCTGTTCCACAATCAGCACTTGGCCCACTTTTCACAGCTGATAGTGAGTTAGTTTCTCCAGTGATTATTTCCAAAGATATAATTGATCTGATTCTTGTGAATACCATCAGGTGAAATCTATGTGAATAGTCTGTGTTTATGTTTTTTATAAAAGGTATTTGCAGTGAATAAATAGATTGAAGACTCATCAACAACCTGTCTTATGCAGATGACACAACCCTGCTTGCTGAATCTGAGGAAGACCTGAAGCACTTGCTGCAGAAAGTCAAGGACTGCAGCCTTAATAATGGATTTGAAGCTCAACGTCAAGAAAACAAAGATTCTCACCACAGGGCTGATTGGCAGCATCATGATAGATGGTAAAAAGATTGAGATTGTTAACAGCTTCAGTTTGCTTTTATCTATAACAAACACTCTTACTACCAGCAAGCAGGAAATCAGAAGATGAATTGCCTTGGGAAAGTCTGCTGCCAGGATTGTCTCTAGAGTACTGAAGAGCAATGATATCAGTCTGGAAACTAAGGTGTGCTTTATCCAGTCCAAGGTCTTTGTAATTACCTGCTATACATCAGAAAGGTAGACCATGACAAGGAATGATAGGAGAATTTATGCTTTTGAGCAGTGATGCTGAAAAAGAGTATTGAATATACCACAGACTGCTAGAAGAACAGATTTGTCCTAAAGAGGGTGAAACCAGGCTACCCTTTGGAAGAAAAGATTCTGAAGCTCCATCTAATGTACTTTGGCCATACTGCAAAAAGGGACCGGTCCTTGGAGAGGACAACATGCTTCTGAGGGTTGAGGGACAGAATAAGAGAAGAAGACCCTCAGTGAGATGGATTCACTCAGTGACTGGGGTAATGGAGATAAGTTTGTCAGAGACAATGAGGTTGGCTCATGATAGAGCAAGTTTCAGAGCTGTTGTACGGAGTGTCGCTATGAGATGTAAGCCACTTGATGACACATAACAACAACAGAAAAACAAAACAAAACCCCCAGATAACTAAAATATGGAAGTGTTTTGTAATTAGGTAGAGGCTGGAAGCATGCCTGATAGTAAAAGAGGTTGCTGGAAGAAACTATCATGTAAAATTAACAGAAAGGCATTTCTGATGGTCCAGAAGAAAGGAAATATATAGAGAAGGTATTTGAAAGGCCGCCTGGGGGCTGGACTGCAGCATCTCATGGTGACGGCAGCATCTCGTGGTGACGGCAGCAGCATCTGAGAGACATTCCAATCTACCTGGTGTAAGACAACTATAGCCAATCAGAAGGAAAACCAGCCATCAACCACATCTTGCATGACTGAGCAGCTCCATCATTAGGAGCTAGCAAAGGGCATCCAATCAACTTTCTCCATGGAGAACTGATCACTGGTTTGACCACCCTACCCCCAACCCCTACCTATAAAGTTGAGCCTGTAATTTTAGTCACTGGTAACTTTGCTGCCTGACCCTGCCTTTCTCTGGCCTCAGACAGTATATCGGCAGTGAGAGCCACTAATAAACTCTTTTGTTTCACTTCTCTGTGCCTTTTTTAGCTTTGTTGTTCTTGTTAAGGGCCGCGGAGTCATTTCCAACTCATAGCGACACTATGTACAACAGCCCTAAACTCTGCTCTATCCTGAGCCAATCGCACTGCTTCTGACACACCCATCCCGATTACCCCAGTCACTGAATCAATCCA